TGGGTCTCTGAAGCAAGGCCAGTAATAGAGTTTACAGGGTGGTGCTGGAGTTCATGGGGGTGACTGCCAGTGCCTCCATGTGTATTGGGAATTGGGGGAGGTAGCCTTCCCCAACTCAGTGAAAGCCTGGAGATTTCAGACACAAAACCCGCATACGTGAATTTTCAGCAGATTATATCTTGGTGAGGTCTGTCCCAGGGCGGTGGAGTCAGGCCAGGGGTACTGCAGCAATTTTGGATTGTGGAAGCAAGTGCCTGCTGGGGGTTCTGCTTGGGCAGGCACAGGCCAACCTGCCCCCCTCCAATTTACTCCAATCTGTTCAACCATGTGTGGGTCCAAGATTAACTGTGACTTTTGGTCTTTTTGGAGATTTACCTATGGGTCTCTGAGATAAGGCCAATAAATGAGCTTGTATAGCTGAGCCAGAGGTGATTTGTGGGTGTGGCTCCCACATACCTATCTTTTGGCCATTTAATTTCTTGGTAAACTTGGCCATTTAATTTCTTGGTAAACTTGGTCCCAAGTTGTTGGGGTCCAGCCAAAGGCAGAATGGCAATTTGGGGTTGTCAGGTAGCCTGAAGGCACCATCAGGCTGGTGATGCAGGTACAGGTTGATCTATTGGTGGCATCATACCCCCGAGAAATTACTTTTTTTTTTCTGAGAAATTACTTTAAATGTTAGAAAAACTGCCAATTTCTGCATTTCAAAACGACAAAAAAAATTTTCTAGAAAAAGGTAAAGTCAGGCTCGCATGGAGTTGGGAATGGGAGACCTTTCCCCGTCTCCCTGTGCTTCTGGTAGCCTGGCAGTCACAATCACAAACTGCTTCTCGCACCATGTAAGCTCATTAATGGCCATGTTCTAGAGACTCACAAATAAATCTCTCAGAAGAGAGAGACACAGAGAAACACACTGCAGAAATGTCTCTGGAGTAAAATCACCATCTGGTTAAAAAAAAAAACCTCAGCTGTAAAAAAATAAAAATTAAAAAAAATAAGGGAAAGCATTAATGTACTTTGAAAACCTTAAATGTAAGGTCAAAGAGTCCGAAGAAGACATGACTAATAAAATGGGAGTAACATCTCCCAACAGCAATTTAAAAAATATGAACCAAGTTTATATTGTTGTGAGTACCCCTGTTTGTAGCAAATCAGCTATAGGAGTACATAAGTGTCACTGGATGTGGTGAACCTTGCATCCTTGTGCATTGTTGGTGTGAACATATACTGCTTTAAGTAAAGCAATTTGGGGTTTTAATCCCAGTCCTAAAAAAGATAGTATGCTTTTACTAAATTGAGTATTGTATTTAGTATTTGGTATTCACAAAATAGGAAATTTGGGGGCTAGAGCAATAGTACAGCAGGTAGGCCACTTGCCTTTCACGCGGCCCACCTGGGTTTGATCTTCACCAGCATCCCATATGGCCCCCTGAGCACTGTCAGGAGTAATTCCTGAGTACAGAGCCAGGGGTGGCCCAAAAACAAAAATACAAAAAATAGGAAATTTGTTGAGTGCTTACTGTTTGTACTCTTTTAACTCTAGTTGCATGAACTTATTTCAATTCTCAAGAACTTTTTTAGATAGTCGGGGTAGAAAAGAAGACTGAGGCACAGGGTCTAGGCTCAGGACCAACACAGCCATTCCTTCCCCTCCGTGTGAGCTCCCTCTGATTATCTCGTGGCACCTTTGTGTTTCTTGTTTCTTGTTATTTCCTACCTCCATTCCTCAGTGTCTGATGAAGTGCCAATCATTAGCTATGTTTTGGGATTGTTATGGAAAGTGAGGGAATAAAGGAGTAAAAGTTTCTACATACCTCCCAACATCCCCCAACCAAAACCATATTAAAAGTCCTCTGTATGGCTGCTGGATATAGCCTTGGTGGTCCCCCGCACCATGAGGGAGTTCCTTTCCCCCTGCCTCTGCAAAGTAACTTTACACATATGCCATAAAAACTAAAATGTAAGCCATGAAAACTTTTATCACAAATGACTGGCTTCTTTAATATGTTAAATATAAGTAAGAATAGCTAATAACACAATAAGAAAATGAGCAGAGAGAATTGTTGGGTCGAGAGATCACCCAATGGGTGGGAGCACATGCTTTGCATTCAGGAAGCCTGGGTTCAATCCCCAAGCATTGCGTGGTTCCTTAGCATACCTGGGAGTGACCCCTGAGCAGTGCACAGGAAGTAGTCCCTGACAGCCCCCGGATATTGCTGAAAACAAGAAAGGAAAAAGAGAAATGTCTCATAAACATCAAAAGAATATCCAGTTCCAGCAGTTATAGGAAAAATGTACATAAAGCTAGTTTTAAGTATCTTTTTTTTTTGGGGGGGTCACACCTGGTGATGCACAGGAGTTTCTCCTGGTTCATGCACTCAGGAATTGCTCCTGGCAGTGCTCAGGGGACCATATGGGATGCTGGGAATCGAACCTGGGTTGGCCGCATGCAAGGCAAATGCCCTACCTGCTGTGCTATTGCTCCAGCCCCTTAAGTATCATTTTTAACATGTCAGACTAGAGCAAAAAAGTTGATGCAGTAGGGAACAGACAATACTAGTGGGACTATAAATTAGAATTTCAGAGTCACATGACGCTTTTCCAAAATTAAAAGTGCTACTTTCCTCTGCCTTAACATTTCCCCTTATAGGGTCCGGCATGATAGAACAGCAGATAGGGTGCTTGTCTTGCACACAGCCAATGTGGGTTTAATCCCCGCATCCCATATGGTCTCCTGAGCACTGCCAGATGTGACCTCATAACAAAAGCAAAAAACAACAAATTGCACTTAGAGAAGTTTACCCTACTAATATACCGAGATGTATATACAGCATACTCATTATAGTATTGTTTTATCATAGAAAAAAATGGAAATAGTACAAACGTTATATCAAGGGAGAAATGAACGATGCACATTAATTCAGTGAGATCCTCTGCAGCTGTCAGGAGACGGTTCCAAAACGGAATGAGTTTTCAGATATAATTAGAGGTGGCGGCATACCCTAGCAATGATCAGGTGATATTCCTGGCTCAGTGCTCAGGGGATCAAAAAGAATCAGTCCCAAGAAAGGCAAGAGCCCTACCTCCTGTACTATCTGGCCCCTCAGATACATCATTACGTTAATTTTAAAATTAAGTCTAATAGTAAGGCTCAGAACAACAGGTGTAATATGACATCAGTTGTTTTGGGGGTAGGAGGAGGAAAACCTGATTTAGGTATACATTTTTCTATGAACAGATATGTCTGAAAAGATGCCAAGGGAACTTATTGGTGGTAGTCCCTGTGAAGAATGATTTGTTGGTAGTTCAGGTGTAATTTTTCACTATATGCTTTTCAGCCTTTAAATTTTGTATCGTGTATGTAATGTCTATTTTTTTTTAATCAAAGCAATGAAAAAATACAAAGAAAAATAGGATTGTTTTGACAATATAAACATTTACTTGTTTTACAAAATATATCAGAAAAAGTTATCAGCAATGAAAAGCTTAAGGGAAGTACTCATTAAACTTACTGCATGTTTTTGGTGTGCTCAGTGCTACTTGTATTACTAAATTCTGAGAAATAGTTTTAATTACATCATTCAGAAGAAGAGATTGAAGGAGATGTAGAGATAAACATTCAACTAGTAAAAGTGCTAGAATGTATTTTAATTTAGTCAAGTCTTTCTGATGTTTAAGATTTGGAGTTTTTGTTTTTATAACAAACTACGTATGACACGCAAATTCATGAAGCGTTCCATATTTTTGGGGGACTGGAGCGATAGCACAGCGTTTTGCATGCGGTCGGTTCTATTCCTCCACCCCTTTCGGAGAGCCTGGCAAACTACCGAGAGTATCTTGCCCGCATGACAAAGCCTGGCAAGCTACCCGTGACGTATTCGATATGCCAAACACAGTCTCACAATGGAGACGTTACTAGGCTTGCTGTAGCAAATCGATGTACTGGAGGACAGTGATACATGATATGTATGCTCCGATTGATGGTCATCTTAACAAAAGGAAATGATGCTTAACTGAATGTCCACTAGATGGCACTGTTGGAAGAGAGAGGGCACTTTTTTTCTTTGTGAAATGCAGTGCTGCTCTATCCAAATGGAATCTTTACAGATGTATTCTATTTTGCAACAATGATATTTTCTTTAGCAGTTTGCCACATAGCCAGTTGTTTTTATAGCAGTGTTTTAATTTTTGTTTGATGTTCTATCATCATAAGTTAATAGGTTCTTGATGTACCAGGCAGTGTATACTTAATGCACGTTAAGTCACTTAAAAATCTTCTCAACAAATAATAAATATTATGAGATGTTTCTACAATCATTTCCATTTTAGAAACAAATATATGAGCATAGAGATAATAAGTAACTTAAATGTCACTGCCAGTAAATAGCAGAGCTGGAATTAAAATCTAGACAGTTATTGCTTTTTTTTCTTTTTTAAAGATCGATGGGCCAGAGAGATAGTAGAGTGGGTAGGGCTTTTGCCTTGTATGTGGCCACCCAGGGTCCAGTCCTACATGTGGTCCCCCAGCCCACAAGGAGATCCCAGAGTGAAGAGTACAGAGTAAGGCGTAAGCCCTAAGCATTGCCAGGTGTGACCCTCAAACAAACACACAAAATAAGTGAAAACTTTATTTTCAAAGTTTGCTTTTGTTTATGTTAGTTTTATCCGTACATAAATTTAAGAATGTTAGAGATAGCTGAATGTCTGTGGGTTGTGTACCTCCTTATTTCTAACTTACTAAGTATGTGGATAAAAGTGAGAATGTTAGTTAAATCTTAAAATATTGGTGGTTAGAGTTTATTTCTTACCGTTTTGATCCTTTGATCCTCTCTTGGGGTCTTTCTTACAGTAAATGCCGCCTGTGGTTAATGTTATGTTTCTTAAGTTACTCACATTTCATCATGGAAAAGTAGCCGAAAGGAATGGCATACTTATTACTCTGTGACATAAGTTGGACATGTGAGAAAAGTGAAATCATTCATTAAACGTATTTTCCTTAGTTGCAGAATTGGAAGTGAAAACCAGAGAAAAATTAGAAGCTGCGAAAAAAAAGACAAGCTTTGAAATTGCTGAACTTAAGGAGAGATTAAAAGCAAGTCGGGAAACTATAAATTGCTTAAAAAATGAAATTAGAAAACTTGAAGAAGATGATCAGACAAAAGAGATATAAACAGTTCTGAAGAGAAGTTGATTATAAGGTGAAAGGAAAATAAGGTGAATTTTAAAGGGGAAATGGACATTCAGGGGTATAATGTTACTTTAAAAAACTGCACATAGTTGTTGACCGTAGATTTCTCAGCAGTCGGTAAACTGTAATTTTTAAGTACTCTTTAATGTGAAATGTATGTGTATAATAATGAATGTTGTATAGGCATTTATCAACCCATTTTTGGGTAATTTCCTGATGCTAAGCACAATGTAAAATTTTATAATGCCTTGTATGTATTTTTATCTTTTTGACAGGCCTCAGAATTCATTATAAAGTCTGATTTGATGATTTTTTTGTATACTACCCTTGTAGTTAGAATTAATGATAAAATTAATGTGTATATTTAATTTCTTAAGTTCTTGTCTTGCCCTGTCCTAACAGTTTTGTATCTGAGGTACTCAATTAGTACTCAATAAATGTGTTTTATGGATTCTGTTCCTGATGTATTTCTTCCTTTTGGAAACACCTGAATTACAATGGATATATCATCGTCATAGTATTGTGACCATGTCTCCCAGCCATTTTAGCATACAGAAACTCTTTTTTATTGAATCACCATGAGATACAGTTACAAAGCTTTCATGTTTGAGTTTCAATCATATAATGATCAAACACCCATCCCTACACCAGTGCGCATTCTCCACCACCAATGTTCCTTGTATAACCCCCCTTTCCAACCCTCCCCCTGCCTCCATGGCAGACAATTTTCCCAATACTCTCTACTTTCAGGTATTATGGTCTGCAATACACATACTGAGAAGTTACCATGTTTGGTCTTTTATCTACTTTCAACACACCTCTCCCATCCCGAACGATTCCTCCAACCATCATTGACTTAGTGATCCCTTTTCTAACCCACCTGCCTTCTCCCGCAGCTCATGAGGCAGGCTTCCAACTATGGGGCAGTATTCTTGACCCTTGTATCTACTGTCCTAGGCTGTCAGTCTCATATTATGTTATTTCATGTTCTACAAATGGGTGCAGTACTTCTAGGTCGCACACAGAAACTCTTGTTGTTCTGTTTAACTAGCATAGTATCATTAGTTTTTACATAGAAAACTCTTTAATCATTCATGCATGTTCAAAAGACACAGGGGAAGCAAATATACATAGGCTTCATGGCCCACTGCTGATTGCTGTTTCCTCCTTAGTTACTCCTTTCAAATTTACACATGTTCAAATTTACACGGTGATTACCTCAAAGTGTTTTGCTTGTTGTTTTGGGGCCACCCTAGTGGTACTCAGGGGCTACTCCTGGCTGTGTGCTCAGGGATCACTCACTCCTAGTACTGAGGATTGACCCAGGACTGGACACCTGTAAAGGAAGTACTTTAACCCCCTCCAGCCGATAAATTTGTTGGGGGCTATTTCCGACATCTTTTGAGCCATCTCCCTGACCCTTGTAATTCTTAGTCTTTAATGCAGTGTTTATTGAATTATCTTGGAAATCTATAGCACTATCCTCCCGTTGTTTATTGATTTGCTTGAGCAGGCACCAGTAACGTCTCCATTGTGAGACTTGTTGTTGCTGTTTTTTGGCATATCGAATACGCCACGGGGAGCTTGCCAGGCTCTGCTGTGCGGGCAGGATACTCTGGGTAGCTTGCCGGGCTCTTCAAGAGGGGGAGGAATTGAACCCGGGTCAGACACGTGCAAGGCATACACCCTACCCGCTGTGCTATCGTTCCACCTAGGAAGACTAATACCAAAAAAATAAAGTATTTTGAGACGTATGTATAGCACTCTAGTAGCACTAACATAAATTGTACAGTACGTAGCACTAACATAAATTGCATAGCACTTAAAACTGGCACCCATGCCTGTGCCTAATACAGGGATCTCACTCTCAACAGAGTCATAACTAGGCACATAAAGATACTTGTTATCTCTCTGTCCCAGTAGATTGGTTACTTTTTAATTCGTTGCTTTGGAAGATAGCACAGTGGTAGGGCGTTTGCCTTGCACACAGCCAACTGGGCCGACCCAGGTTCGATTCCTCCGCCCCTCTCGGAGAGCCCAGCAAGCTACCGAGAGTATCTTGCCCACACGGCAAAGCCTGGCAAGCTACCCATGGCGTATTCGATATGCCAAACACAGTAACAAGTCTCACAATGGTGACGTTACTGGGCCTGCTTGGGTAAATCGGAGCAAATCGATGAACAACAGGAGGACAGTGCTTTATTTTTTACATTGTGACATTTATAGTTTGGGGAGGGGGGGTTGTAATATCCCTGTAGTCTGAAATTTCTGACTGGGGCTCTCTGGAGTTGGGGATGGCCTTTCTAGTTGTCCCTCATATCCCAATGCCCACAGTTGACAGTAGGGCTTAAGGGATAGATCAGCTGATGGGAGTAAAGTCCCGTTCCACAGGAGGGGTACTGAGTAGGAGGTAGTCCTTCAGAGGAGTCCCCTCGAATGTATTGTTTCACAGAATCCAAGTTCATGGAATTAAGTTGGACATCGTACATGGATCAGCACAAGGGTTCACATATTGAATGGCTCAGTTGTCCTCCGGCAGGTGTTATTTCTGTGTTGTCTTTAAGTTTTAATTTTGTAGTTGTTGGGGTCACACCCAGTGGTTCTCAGGGCTTCTGACTTTGCTCAGGAATTAATCCTGGCAGTGCTCGGGAGACATCAGACGCTGAGGATCAAACCTATGCTGACTGTGTTCAGGACAAGCGTTCTCCCTGCTGTTCTGTCTCCCTGGCCCCTGTCTTTAATCTTTAACTTTAGTTAGATCACCCCATTCATACTTAACACTTTAAAAAAAAATCCATTTTTTAAAGAGTCAAAGGAGGGGCTGGAGCAATGGTATGCTATGCTTAGTGGGTAGGGTATTTGCCTTGCACGTGGCTGACCCAGTTCGATTCCCAGCATCCCATATGGTCCCCCAAGCATCGCTAGGAGTGATTCCTGAGTGCAGAGCCAGGAGTAACCCCTGAGCATTGGCTGGGTGTGACCCAAAAAGCAAATAAATAAATAATGAAGAGTCAAAGGATTAAATAGACATTTTCCAAAGGAAAAATATCCAGATGACCAATAAAAATGTGAGATGTTATGTATCATGAGTTATTAAGAAAATGCAGTCAGCATCAAAATATCATTCCACATTTATTAGGATATATATATATATATTTTTTAAATGGGGGTGAGGGGTGGGGGGTGGGGAACCACCTCATGGACCTACTTCTGTTTTTGTGCTCTGGGATCACTCCTGGCACTGTTCAGGGGACATGTGGGTTGTTTGGGGGTGGAACCTGGGTTTCCTGCATGCTGGGCAAGTGCCTGCCCACTGTACACTCTCCAGCCTCTCATTAGGTTTTAAGCAAGGATGTGGAGAAATCGAACCTCTCATACATTAATAGTGAGATATAATGTGCTATGACCACTTTGAAAAATAATTGACAGTTTATCACAAAGCTAAATATATACCCTGTCACTCAGCAATTTTACTTCTAGGTACTCTACTTCTGGGTAGTTCTTTCCCAAAGAAAGAAAACATGTTCACACAAAAACAAGTACCTGAATGTCTGTGGAAAAATCATGCATTAATGCCTGAAAGGAGACAAACCCAAATATCCAAAAGCCAGTGATTGAATAAATAAAATACGGTATTGCTATACAGTGGAATATCATTCAGCCAGAAGAACTATCATTCAGATTCTGCTTGAATGACAAGTTTGAAAATGTGCTGAACGAAAGGAGTGAGATACAAAAAGCCACATATTGTAGGATTCCATTTGGGTGAAATGTCCAGAAAAGGCAGGTCCACAGAAAAACAGTTGGTTTGTTGTTGCCGGGGCTGGGGAGAAGGGGATTTCCTTCAGGAGTGATGAAATGTCCTGGAATTAGTGTTGATGATTGCACAATCTCGTGTATTTACTAAAACCAGAACTGTTTTTTAAAGCATTTTTAGAATGCTTTCACTAATGCTAAGTAAATTTTATCTAAAAAATCGCCTTAGGCATTTAAGTGGCAAATTTTGTTTAGAATTTTTAAAACTGACAAAGCATTCTAAACTCCTGATTTCCATTTTCCCACTGTACCAGTGGGAGTATTTATTTACCAAGGATTAATCATGTCCTTTACATACAGACTATGAACGATTAAGGGAAAATTGGCTAATTGGTCAGCTCACTTCTTTAATGAAGATCAAAGTTGAAGTCTCATTTTTTTCTAAACAGTCTGGTAGGTAGTGCACTGTCTATACTTTATAGCCCAGAGATTTAAGGAACTGGCTAGATGTTAAATCAACCAACGATGTGACTCAGACTAGTAATCTACAACTACAGACCTTTCTGTCACAATAATACTTAATTTTTCTCATGTTCAAAGCATTAGCTTCTTTAATTGTCGGTTGCTCATGCCTAAATATGTCTCAGGTCTCCTTTCTTTCACTAATTGGAGTCATTTGGGACTATCAAATATCAACATCAGATGGCAAGAATAAAAAAAAAACAGGTGAGAATCTTGCTAGCCATCAGAGAGTTAAAGCAGGGTCAGAGCAAAAGTACAGCAGGGAGGGTGTTTGCCTTTCAAGCAGCCCACCTGGATTTGATCCTCAGCATCCCTTATGGTCCCCTGAGCACCACCAGAAGTGATCCCTGAGTACAGAGTCAGGAGTGAGTCCTGCTGAGCACTGCTAGGTGTGACCACCGCTCCCCCCTACTCCCCAAAAATGAGAGACGTGTAAAATCCTGGTAGATAAAGACTATTAAGAAAAAGGTTCTAAAATCTTCTATAGAAGGTATTCCAGTCCTTGGTATTACCCTCAGTTTCTTCAATTTTGCTGTGTGTGTTGGTTGATAGGTTTTGATTGTATTTATTAACAATACAGCAATTATGGAAGACCCAGGGACACGCTGCATAAAGTGTGCCCTGCCTGTGTGTCCCAGCTCTGGCACAGTCACAGACAGAAGTTAAAAAGATGAAAACTCTTCCCAGTGCCCCCTCCGTTTGTCCACAGTCTCCTGACCCATTTCCTCAGGACCCTGCCCACTGATCCCGGTGGGTCCCTGAAACACAGAGGAGCCATCGTGGAGGAGGGGTGGCACTGTCTGTGTCCTCTGGCATGGGAGCAGGTGGAGACAGTCTGGCTGATGCAAGTGCCAGGCCTCTCAGGGGTGTGGTTTTGGCGCAGGCTGAGAAGACAGGTACCCGAGGCCACTTCATGGGCCTGTGTCAAAACCCCAGACAACCCTGATATACCAGAGGGGATGTGAGGGTCAGGGGTTGGGGGGTTTCACAACTGCCTCCAAGGTTGGGAGGCAGGGATCTCTCCCACAGCACTAAGAGCACTTGCTTATTCTGGCAGAAAAACATTTAAATGATCAGAGGTCAACAACTGGTCATTGCACAGAAAAATAGAAAAATGCCGTTCCGAGCACCCCTCTGCCCCACGCGCAAGGGCACAGGTGGTGCGGTAGGGAGCATGCTGGGGGT